TGGGTGTGTGGTTTGAGCCTTCTGGAGAGACTGCGGTGTGTGTTGACGGAGACTCTTACCAGCCTCTTGCTACCTTTACTACTGAGCCGGGCTCGGGTCTCTACACTCTTCACACTGGCCCGCGTGCGCCGCAGCAGCAGCCGCAGCAGCAGCAGCAGCCGCAGCCGCAGCAGCAGCAGCAGCAGCAGCAGCACCAGCGGCCGCACCAGCAGCCCCCCCTACTGCCACTGCCCCCGGTTCCCCCCCCCGTTCGGGTCCCCGCGTCTCACCAGGTTGCTACGTCCCCCCAGGTGTCTGTGTCGTGTCAGGTTCCTACGTCTGTTCCAGTCGCTGCGTCGTGCTCCTGCCGGTCGCTTGCCCACCCCACCGTTCTGTGGCACCACCGGATGGGGCACCCGTCCCTTCCACGTCTGCGCGCTATGTCTAGTCAGCGTCTTGTCCTAGGCCTCCCACGTGTCTTGCCGTCGCTGCCGCCTTCGCCTGCGCCGCCGTGTCGTCCCTGCGTCGAGGGTAGGCTGCGCGCCACCCCTCACTCCTCCTCCCTTCGTCCGGCCACCGAGCCTTTTGAGACGCTTCACTTGGACGTCTGGGGCCCAGCCCCTCGTCTAGGCCCTGAGCGTGAGCGTTACTTTCTGGTGGTCGTTGACGACTTCTCCCGCTACACCACAGTGTTCCCTCTGGCGAAGAAGTCTGAGGTGACTTCTACGCTGATCAGGTGGTTGCTCACCACCGAGGACACTCGTGGTCGTCGTGTCAGCTGTCTCCACTCCGACCGTGGGGGTGAGTTTCGCTCCGGCATTCTCGCTGGATTCTGTCGCGAGCAGGGCATTCGTCAGTCCTGGACGCTTCCAGAGTCCCCACAGCAGAATGGGGTTGCTGAGCGCCGCATAGGCCTGGTCATGGAGATCGCCCGCACCTCCCTGACTCACGCCTGTGCCCCCCATTTTCTGTGGCCCTACGCGGTCAGGTACGCCGCGCACCAGCTGAACCTCTGGCCACGTGTCTCTCGACCAGAGGTTTCACCGACCAGTCTTTGGACAGGGTCCCCTGGTGTTGCGTCGCGGTTTCGTGTCTGGGGGTGCTTGGCTCTTGTCCGCGACACCTCCGCGGACAAGCTCTCGCCTCGTGCCGTCCCCTGTGTCTTCCTTGGTTTCCCTGAGGACTCCTCTGACTTCACCTTTTACCACCCTCCCTCTCACCGGTTCTTTGACTCCCGTGACGTCCGTTTCGAGGAGTCCACTCCGTACTACGTCAGGTACCCCAGTCGAGGTCTCCTGGTTCCTCCTCCCCCCCTCTTCCTGACTGCCGTTCCCCCTCCTGCTCCCCCGGTACAGCCTCCCCCCCCTGGTCCAGCCCCGTCAGGTGTGTCCCAGGCTACCCCTCCTCCTTCGGTAGCCCCTCCGGTACAGCCTCCCTCCCCACAGTCCTCCTCGCAGCGTGCCGCTGGTGCTAGCTCTCGAGAGGTTGGTACGGCGCCTGTTCCTGTACCGGTTTCTGGTTCTGGGGGTGCTGGAGTTGGAGCTGGAGTTGGAGCTGGAGTTGGCACTGGAGTTTCTGGTTCTGGGGGTGCTGGAGTTGGAGCTGGGGTTGGAGCTGGAGTTTCTGGTTCTGGAGTTGGAGCTGACCCGGTGGGTGCAGAGGACTCTTGTCGTCCGGGAGCTGGTGCTGGCCGCGCGGACACTGGGGGTGCTGCGTCTGGGGGTGAGGGTGCGCCTCCTTCGGGTTTAGGTGAGCCTGGGTCTGGAGCTGGTGTTAGTGCTGCCTCTGGGGGTGGTGCGCCTAGTTCTTCTGGGGTGGACTCTGGAGCTGCCGCTGCTTCGGACACTACTCCACCCCCCCACCCCTACCCGACTAGGCACCAGGCTCGTGTTCGCCGTGCCCGTGACGAGCAGCTGGCGTTGGAGAGAGAGGAGAGGGAGTTACAGCGGCTGGAGGAGCAGCAGCAGCAGCTGGAGCCGCAGGAGCAGCAGCAGCAGCAGCAGCAGCTGGACCCGCAGGAGCAGCAGTCCCAGCAGCAGCCCCGTCCGCAGCAGCAGCAGTCGCAGCCGCAGCAGCAGCAGCCACTTCCTCCTCCTGTCTCGGGTCTTCGGATCCTTGGTCTCCCCTCCCCTTCTCCTCCCTCCTCCGCCTCTCCTCCTGTCTACGGTCCCACGTTTCCTCCTCCTGACTCCTCCCCCGCTGTTTTCCCCAGTTCTCCGCCCTTGTCCTCTTCTCCTCCGTCTCGTTCTTGGGCTACTCGTCGCTCCCCTCGTGCTCGTCCCTCATCTCCTGTTCCCTTCACTGACCTTCGTACTGCCTTCCTTCTTTCTAGTCCACCTCGTCCGTCTCAGTCTGTGCTTCCGTCTCCTCCTGAGTCGGCCCTCACTGTGTCGCTCCCTACTCCTGTCACTGACTACTACCGCACGTACCGTCCTGTTCTCTCTCGTGTTCTCGCCTCTCTTGTTACTCACCCTCATGCCTCTGTGTCCTCTGTGTCCGCTCTTACTGCCGCAGTTACTGACTTTGCCTCTACCCGCCGCCTTGACTACGCCACCACGCTTGTGGCTGCTCCTCCTACCAGTCCTCTGGCCGTCGGGGGTGTGTCTGCCCTTGGCCGTGACGCCCTAGAGGACAGGCAGTTTGAGCTAGAGTTCCTGGCGGCCGCTTCCCCTCATCTCTGTGCCATGCTCCTCGCCCCTGAGGGTGACCCCGACGCCCTTGACATTCCGACTCCTCGCACTTACGCTGAGGCAGTGTCAGGGCCTTGGGCCTCTCAGTGGAGAGCTGCCATGGACGCAGAGATGGCCTCCTACAGATCCACAGGCACCTACGTCGATGAGGTTCCCCCCCCTGGGACGAACGTAGTCGACGGCATGTGGATCTACAGGGTGAAGCGGCCACCGGGATCTCCCCCGGTCTTCAAGGCGCGCTACGTGGCTAGAGGTTTCAGTCAGCGCGAGGGAGTTGACTTCTTTCAGACCTTCGCACCTACCCCGAAGATGACCACTCTTCGGGTGTTACTACACGTAGCAGCACAGAGAGACTACGAGTTACACTCTCTTGACTTCTCCACTGCTTTCCTTCAGGGCAGCCTACACGAGGAGGTCTGGTTGCGTCGTCCCTCGGCCTTCACTGGCACCTTCCCTCCTGGGACCCAGTGGAGGCTGAGGCGACCTGTTTACGGTCTTCGCCAGGCCCCTCGTGAGTGGCACGACACTCTGCGTTCTACCCTCTCTGACCTTGGGTTCCAGCCGTCTTCTGCCGACCCGTCGCTGTTCGTTCGTCGTGGCTCCACACCGTTCTTTGTTCTGGTTTACGTCGACGACCTCGTTTTCGCCACTCCGGACAGGGTTGCTTTGGCAGACGTGAAGTCCGAACTGCAGAAGAGACACACGTGCACTGATCTTGGTGAGCTGCGCCACTACCTTGGCCTGCAGATCACCAGGGACAGAGCCGCTCGCACCATTACACTCTCACAGTCACACATGGTGCAGCAGGTCCTTCAGCGGTTCGGGCTTCAGCACTCCACCGTATAGCGCACACCTCTAGCTGTTGACCACAGACTCACTGGTCCCTTTCCTGACGAGCCGTTTGAGCCTAGTGGTCCCTACGCAGAGCTTGTGGGTTGCCTCATGTACCTGATGACTTGTACTCGCCCGGACCTCGCCTTCCCTCTCAGCATCCTTGCGCGCTTTGTTGCGCCAGGGAGACACCGTCCTGTTCAGTGGACGGCAGCTGTGAGGGTGGCGAAGTACCTAGCGACTACATCAGGCGTGGGGCTAGTTCTTGGAGGGCAGCAGTCTGTCGTACTCACTGGTCACTGTGACTCCTCTTACGCTGACGACGCTGAGACTCACAGGTCTACTCAGGGGTACTGTTTCAGTCTGGGTTCTGGAGCTGTTTCCTGGCGTTCCACGCGCTCCTCTTCTGTCTCGACCTCTACAGCTGAGGCTGAGATTTACGCTGGTGCCATGGCGGCACAGGAGTTGCGGTGGTTGACCTTCTTGCTCACTGACCTTGGTGAGCGGCCGAGCTCTGCACCGACCTTGTTTACTGACAACAAGGCGTCGATCCTCCTCTGTCGTGAGCCGCGACTGGAGAGCAGAGTGAAGCACATTCACGTCAGGTACTTTCTTCTGCGAGAGTTGCAGAGGCGTGGACAGGCTCGCTTCGAGTTCGTAGAGTCCGAGGCCAACACTGCAGACATCTTCACCAAGGCGCTTCCGCCTTGTGACCACCAGAGGTGTTGTGTGCAGTTAGGCCTTGTTGACACAGGTTCTAGTCATGCGTAGACTTGAGTTTATTGCCTGCTTCGTCTGTACATTTACTATATATACTTGTGATCTCTTGGACTGGCCTTGTGGCCACTGTTGCTTGTGCTCAGAGTGTGTGGTGACGTTGTGATCCACCCTGAGCTTTGTTTTCTTTTGGACTGGTCTTGTGACCGTACTCTTTTTGTTTTTGCTAGACACCCCTCACTTAGGCTATGGGGGTGTGTCAAATGTTGTAGCCTGTAGTGAGGTTTGTCTTAGGGGGTACAGAAGTTAGGGTTTGTCATATGTACCCCAACCAACATCAATGCAACACTCATTCCTCATTCTGACAAGTGGGCACTCTTGCAAATGGTAACAGTGGGTGTGTGTGGGCTCAGACTGTAATTTGTAATCTACCACGCACTATGCACCCTTGCAAATGTGGCCAAAATAGGACAAAAAAAGCCAACTGCTTGAAAACATTAGCTGAATTAAACATCTCAAATTTGCGGTGAGAATTCCAGAACTGAAGACCAAAACAAGCTGTAAGAAACAATGCAAAAAGCCAGCAAACCAGCATTCCCAACTGCTTTGGTTCTAAACGACAATGAAGCAGTGGAGTTCCAGTGCTGCAGTTACCCAAAACAAGCTTCATTGGCTGCATTGCTGTGAAATAGGGAGGGAGTGGTTGTCAGGGACAGTGGGTCAGAAGGCTCCAACAATGAGATATTGAAACTTGATACTGAGCAGCTGCAAGTGTAGCATACCTCACTCTAGTGGCTCTTGCATTGCAGTGGCACCATGAGGAACAATGACACTGCACGAGCCACCAGTACCGGAGGAGCTATCCCACATGAGGTTATCCCTCAGAGGGTCCGAGTACATATCCACAGAACGCGCCACAATCAGCCGCCCATTCAGGACACCTTCTCCCAGCGTGTATCTGGTTCCTAAATCCGACGCTCTAGATGCTCCTGATGCCCAAGCTGCTGGCACTGCGGCCACTGATGTCGCACCAGGTGGTGGCATGCCGAGTGGCCTCCTCGAACTAATACTAGTAGCGATTCCTCCTTTTCCTGAAACTGATGTTGCTGCAGCAGGTGCTGCAGTGGACACTGCTGGCCTTGCTGCTGCTGCTGCAGCAGCTAGCTTCTGCCACGTGTTGGCCCCATGGGACGATGGGGCAGCAGCAGCAGGTGTTACTGATGCCGACTGGTTGACCCGGGGGAACGAACCAGGAGAGGTGGATGAGGATGGGTGAGTGCTGTTGGAGGGGAGGACGGAGGTGTGGAAAGGAGGAGGCGAAGGAGTGGTAGTCCCAGTGGGAGGGGAGGCAGATAGTAGGGAGGAACCCGAGAAGAAGTTGGCCGACAGGGCGAAATGTGAGGGGTCACGGGAAGCTGGAATGGGGGAGGCAGAGAGAAACATACAAAACAAATAGTCGTCAGTGGAGCAGCAGTGGGGCCAGAAGCTGAGGCTGATGGAGGAAACCAGGTGAGATGCAACAACCGGGGCTTGGTAAGAGCGGAGTATGTATCTAGTAAAGGAGGGACGAACCTTGGTTACGGTTGGGCTGTTGTGGCACTTTAACATGCCCACACACAGCAGCAAATGACCCATCCTCCTCGTCCTCATCCTTCGCCTCTGCTACTTTACCTGTTCCCACCCCCAAGCCTGCAGGCACCACGGGTGCAACCTTTCTTCCCGCCTGCTGCTGCTCCTGCACTGGAATCACAACTGCTGCCTTCATTGCTGTCATACCAGTCACGTGTGCTGGCACTGCCAACGCACCAGTAGTGGCAGAGACGGTAGGAATTGAAACAGCAGTGGTAGCAGTGACAGCAGGGATTCTCTGAGACTTGTGTCCAGCTCCCACGCCTGGTGCTGCCATTGCTTGTGCGCCTGGTGGTGGCTTCTTCTGAGACCCATACACTCCACTGAACCCTCTGGCGGCCGCATCAGCTGCTGCCACTCCATTGTCCATACTACTGCATGCAGTAGGTCCTGTCGTAGAGGCAGTGGCAGTGGTGCATTTGCGTAGAGCAGAGCCGGCACTGGGTGAAGAAGATGGCACTGTTGACATGCTAGGAGATGGACCTGAAGCCAACGCAGAGTGTAGCACAAGGGCGAGATTTGGGCAGGAAAAGGAAGGGGGGGAGATAAGGGCAATGGTATTGGCATGATAAATCACACCAGCATCGGCATTTTGCATCAATTCTTCCTGCACACCTGATGCTGTTGATGTGGAGCGAGGATGCCCGAGAGAATGCGACATGCCTTGGCCTCCTGAGTGTCCACCTGCTGCAGCAGTACCAACAGTGCTAGCACTGGGAGCACCAGACGGACTGTCAGCACCAGCCCCACTCGCAGCACCAGCAGCAGTGCTGCCACGTGCAATGATTACAGCAGTGGAAAGGGCAGATGGAGCAGGGACGGCAGGAGGGGTGTGTACTGGCGACGGAGGGGTGGATGAGCGAGAATCCCCTGCTGCAGTGACAGGTGCAGGCGAAATGGTGGAAGGAACAGCAACAGCAGAAACAGCAATGGCAGCAGCAGCAGCTGCCGATACACTAGGCGCAATCACAGCAGCAGTAACGGCAGGAGAAGCAGCTGCAGGTGGTGTTGGTGGTGGAGGTGATGGTTGCGGTGGCGGCGGTGGTGGGGTTGGTGTGGGCGGTGTTGGTGCAGGTGCAGGTGGTGGCGGGTGAGAGACAGAAGCAGAGGAGGCATGAGCCTGGCCCCAGCGCTGCCACCAGCCAGAGGCAGAGAGGTCAAGGCACGAGGTGGAGGTGAGGGAGGAGAAGAGGTGCGCTGTGTCTGCCGGCAGGGAAGATGCGTCAAACATGCCCTGCGCGAGCAGCTTCTGGAAGTTCTTGACTGCTCGGAGAAACGTCTTGCTGCGGAACATGCTCTCCACACTGGTGGGGGAGAACAGAGAGGAGAAGGTGAAGGGATGGCACAGCGAGGCCACGTGGAAGGACACATAAAGCAGAAGTGCAAGGAGTGGTTCACTGTGGCCATGACCGAACGGCACATCTGCACCACAATCGCATGACACACCATGCCATGCCATGCCACGCCTTCACAGCACTGCTGTGTGCCGCTGCTGCATTCACCTGGCGGAGCCATTGGCAGTGTCGACAGCAGGCAGCATGGCAACGAGCTGACTCTTTTGTGCGTGGTCCATGCAGCGGTAGAGACTGGAGGCGTTCACTATGTCCTGTCCAAGAAGCAAGACGGATGGACAAGAAACCGATTAGAGGAGGAAATTACTGCTGAAACGGGTCGAAAAATGGGCAGGCAGACAAAGAGAAAAGAGAAAGAGAAGCTGTAACAAAGGAGAAATCTGAGCGAGCAAGAAAGGGAGACTTACTGTGAGGTTCACTGAGCACAGAGGAGAGTTTGGCGAGTAGAGGAGGAAATCGTCCGACACGATACCAGCAGCCCTGTGTACGGGAGGGAAGAGAGAGGCATAACAGAGGCAAGCTCAACCGATTCAAAGAAACATGACATTGCATCTTCATGGGTAGCACATCGAGAGTGGAGCCATGACGAGAAAGAGATATCGGAGAAAAAGGGAGAGTGCCTTACTCTGCCAAACTCGCACCCGCCACATGCTCTCTGCCTCCCACGCCAACTCCCCCACCTTGCTTTCTCGCCCCCGTCATCCCGCCCTTTTCCACATCGCCCTCTCCTATCCCTGCTCTTCCCATGCCGCCTGTCCTCCCCCCAGCCCTCCATATGCTGCCATCGCTGGCGACTCGATGCATGCCCACTCGCTCCCCCCTTCCCTCCCCCACTGCGTCCTCTCGCGTACCCTTCCCCACCACAGGGCCAGCACCAGCAGCACCGGAGGGGGTAGTGAGTGCACGATAGTGAGGCGAGGGCATAGTGAGAAGCACAAGGTCCCGGTGACCACTCGGCACATGCTGTAGTAGCTCCAGTTGCCCATCCTCGTCACCTTCCTCCTCTTCTTCTCCCTCCTCCCCGGCTCTCTTTTCCTCCTCTACCTCAACTACATCTTCCTCCCCTCCCCCTGCCTCATCGTCTCCCCCTTCTTCTATCCACACCTCTCTCACCCCTTCCTGTCCCCTCCTTCCTCCTCCTCCATCCATCAGCAAATCGACTTCCTCATTCCATTGCACTCCCGCATCCACGTCCATATCCCCCTCTCCCTTCACCCCCTTTTCCCCACGCGCGTGCGCGCCTTTCTCTCGCCACGAGCCCTCTTTCCCCCCTCCGCCACCCGCACAGTGCCTCATCCGCAGCGTGGTGAGGTCCGCCTCGGATTGGCTGCGCGGCCGCATGCCACTGCCGGACCCCGCGCCATACAGGGATGCAGAGGACTGCTGACCTCCTCCGCCAAGAGACCTACGCTTGGGTGGAATGGGCACGCCTGGGAGAGAGTGGGTCGACGGAAAAGTGGGAGGTGGGAGACAGGGATCAGCCCATCACATACCACATGATGCCACACGTGAGAACCATCACATGGTTTGTATGCCAGAGCCAGACCATGCCAGGGATGCTTGTGCATCTTATCGTCAACACAGAAACATTGGACCCTGCACACCTTGCAACCGGTCAGAAGCCACCACACTTCCATCGTCCTCCATTCGCATCACATCCTCGCTTCCCTCTCGACCACTCCCTCCACTGTGTGCCCAGCCTCTCCTTGCTCCGCTGTTGTCCCCTCCTCCACTCCTCTCCATGTCCTTCTCATCGTCGTCATCGTCGTCGCCCCACACCATGTCTAACTCCATCTCGTCATCCCATCTTTCGTTCGCCCCTCTACCCAATCCCGCATCACTCTGCCCATCCATCCCACACCCGCCGACGTTCCCGCTCCTCTCCCCACCCCGCACCCCTCCACGTGCCCTCTGCCAGCCCTTCCGCTTAACTCCGGGTCCCCTTCCACGAAGCCCTCTCCCCATTCGCGCGCCACCCCCTAGCGCCGTCCCCCCCGCTCCCTTCTCCGCTAGCCACGCATCTGCACCCTTCTGCGCCTCCGCTTCGCCGTCCTCGTCGCCGTCCGTTCGTTTACCGTTGGCAGCGCTTGGGCACTGCGAATGCGGGTGTTGGCGCGCGCCGGGATTTTTGAGACGCCACTTGGTGGCTGCGGCAGAGGAGAGCCCAAGCCCGCCCGCGTGCAGCGGCATGTAGTTAACCAGTGTTCCGCGCGTGCGCCACCGCGAGCCGCACGCGTTGCAGAGAACGGGCTTCTCGGGGGGACCATTGCGCCACAGTGGAGTGACTGGCGCGTCGGCGCAGTAGGGGAGAGCGAGACGCGGCCCACGAACGGGGAGAGAGTTGGGGGAGAGAGTCGTGTAAAGAATGAGGAGAATTGATTAGTATTCAACGGGATGAGAAGTCGACTCGGAAGCAGCGCAAGAAGCGCAAGAATCCTTTCTCGAGGTGGAGGAGAGCGGGATGACCAGGGATTTGCCACGACAACCCCATCCGCGCGGCTTGTAAAGGAGAACCGTCGACTAAACAAAAAAAGTTAGGGGTCCTAAATGAACAGTGAACTAAAGCAGATGGATGGAAGCACAACTGAGGGTCCAAGAGATGAAGAGGGTTAAACCCACCAGCCACGCCGCAGTGGTTGCATGGCCCTTGCTTCCCCATGCTTCACGCAGCGAATTTTGCTGCGTTTCACGTGGTTCGTCAGACAGCGTGTTCAGAACGATCGCACGAAGTCTAAAAGACTGGCTCTCGAGCGGCTGCTTCTGGGCCTGCTCCTGCTGCTGCGGTGGCGATTCGCGCCACGTCTTGCCTCCCATCATGCTCGCGAGAGGCCATGAGCGTACACAGGCGACATGGCAAACATCCTTGGAAACAGGCAAAGCAGAACGAATGACTTGGGTGAGGACGGGTTCCTCAAGCACCATAACCCCTACGCCACCGCCATTCTTCTGTGTGGCTATCTTGATTTCTCCTTCAGTTCTGCTTCGCCTCGTTCGAATTCGCCCCCTGTGCCGCCTCTCGAAGTTTGCTGCGCCTGCGGAACAGCTTCAGCATGCTGGTCACACACATAGCACAGCAGTGGTCCACCATCCAACCTGCTCGCTTTCCCAAACCCCATGAGAGAAAGCGACGCGACCACAAAGAACAAACAATTACGCTGCCGCTGAAGCAAATTTTCCCAAATGGGTACATACAGGTCTTGTTTGGTTCGGATGGAGAGAGTCGAGCGACTTGTTCGCCTGCCCGCGTTGCCTGGGCACGCGCTTCGATAATATCTGTCTGCCTCGTGGCACCAATCCACGGCAGGAAGAAAGAGATTCCAGGAAGCTTGGCCTCCATGCAAGAACGTATGATAGTCACCAGGCATTTTCTGCCAACGTCAGCAATGATATTGCCACGTGAAAGGGGTGTAACCTGCCCGCTCCGTCATCAAAATTGTTCGTGCCACCAGATCCTGTGATATGCTTGGCGACACCAGTTTGTACAGCGGCCAACACCGACACCAAATGGAGCAGCGAAAAAAACAAGAATTTTAACTTTACATCACCTTCACCACCCATCCGCTTGTTGACGTGTACATCACATGCACCGTCGATTACGCTCCTAAAACCCTTCTCAACGATCTGGAGAATTGTAAAACCTGAGTTGCAAAATCTGCAGCCTGCTTCATTGTTCAGAAGGAAGATAGTGGTGTCAATAAGGGCGCGTGTGTTCTTGCCGAACCTGACAAAGTTCGAACTCAAACCGTTTTGCACCGTGGCAAAACGTTTTAAGTTGTATTCTACCGTGACAAACCGTTATAAAAGTTCGAACTTTCAGTCAGGCTCGGCAAGAACACACGCGCCCTAATCCTTCTCACAATACACCTGAGAAATAGAGCTGGTTATAAAATAAACAAACATTGATATCACCTTGATTGCAAACAACATACGACGGGCCAATCAAAGTGTAGATAGCAAAGCATCTGAAACTTTATTTTCTGCAAAACATAGATGAAACATCAGTCAAATTGTTTCATGCAAGCAATGTACTTGCAGTTTATCAGTCCATGATCCTGAGTTCTGATAGCGCTGCAGTAACACCAGAGGTGTCCTTGGATTCAGCAGTTGCATAAGCAGGACACTGACCTGCAAAACAAAAGTAGGTTACATGGATTGGTACACCGTAGGTTCAAAACCTGACGCTTGTAGATTACAATCCATGCTGGGTTGAAATGTGCATGGTTGAAGAAGAACCTGACCTTGAGTGTAGCGCTTGTTCCTCCAGAAGTATACCACAGTGGATGACGAAAGTTTCGCAGGGTAGGACAATATGGTAACTCTGACATTCACCTAGTGGCAAAAAAGTCTCAGAATCTTAAACAAAGGTAGGCTTAGAAGCCATGGTTTAGGTGCCTAGGTAATCGAGTTTTAGGGGGTGAGGAGAGAAGTGTCGAGAGATTTTTGAAAGAGAAGGGGTTTCACTAGGAAGAGTTGGGATACAAGTACAATGCCCTAAATTGGGTTGTACTCATTACAGAGTACCCCACTGCAAGCTAGACAGCAAATATATTCTGACACACCCCCATAGCCAAAGTGGGGTGTAATCAGCAGAGCAGGCAAAGCAGTACAAGCTCAGGGTGGATCCCAATGTCACCACACATTCTGAGCACAAGTTCAAGAAGCAATAGTTAAAGTGCACAATTATCAGCAAAGCTAGTGGTAGTCACAACGGGCAAGTGAGGAGGAGGAGGGAGAGTGAGAGGAGAGGAGATAGAAGGCGGCGGCTGAAGCTGCAGACACACGGGCAACAGGAGTGGCGAGCACAGTGGCTACCGGACTAAGCGCCCGGACTACAGGAGTAACAGGCCCCGCGGCTCAAGTAGCGGCAGACGGGCAACGGACCCTCGGGCGACTGGCGCAGCAACAAACTCACTGGGCTACCGGACTAAGCGCCCGGACTACAGGTGCTGCGGACAACAGACTGGCAACCTCCGCTCATCCTCCCGCACACAGTCCCACCCCCCGACACACACCCGCTGCTATACCGCTAGCTCCACCCACCCCCCTTAAACCCGAAACCCCAGTCTCCCACACATCCACCCCCCTCAGCGAGAGCTGTAGCAGTGGGAGACGAAGGAGGAGGAGGAGGAGGGGACGGCACGCACAACCGACACCCCCACAACCAGCACCCCAACACTCACCCCCCACGGCTGCACCTGGTCCATGAGCGGCTGCTGCAGGGGCCAGGGGCGGCTGCTGCTGGTGCGGCTGCTCCAGTGGCTGCCGCTGCTGGGGCGGCTGCTGCTGCTCCACGTGCTGCTGCTGGTGGGGTGGCTGCTGCAGTAGCAGCGGCTCCAGGGGCTGCTGCTGCTGGGGTGGCCGCTTCAGAGGCATCTGCTGCTGGGGCGGCTGCTCCAGTGGCTGCTGCTGGGGCGGCTGCTCCCGGGGCTGCTGCTGCTGGGGCGGCTGCTCCCGGGGCTGCTGCTGCTGGGGCGGCTCCAGGGGCTGCTGCTGCTGGGGCGGCTGCTCCCGGGGCTGCTGCTGCTGGGGCGGCTGCTCCACAAGCTGCTGCTGCTGGGGTGGCCGCTCCAGAGGCAGCAGCTGCTGGGGCGGCTGCTCCCGGGGCTGCTGCTACTGGGGCGGCCCCAGGGGCTGCTGCTGGGGCGGCGGCTCCTGGAGCTGCTGCTGCTGCGGTGGCCGTTTCAGAGGCAGCTGCTGCTGGGGCGGCTGCTCCAGTGGCTGCTGCTGGGGCGGCTGCTCCCGCGGCTGCTGCTGCTGGGGCGGCTGCTCCCGGGGCTGCTGCTGCTGGGGCGGCTCCAGGGGCTGCTGCTGCCGGGGCGGCTGCTCCCGGGGCTGCTGCTGCTGGGGCGGCTGCTCCACAAGCTGCTGCTGCTGGGGTGGCCGCTCCAGAGGCAGCAGCTGCTGGGGCGGCTGCTCCCGGGGCTGCTGCTATTGGGGCGGCCCCAGGGGCTGCTGCTGGGGCGGCGGCTCCTGGAGCTGCTGCTGCTGCGGTGGCCGTTTCAGGGGCTGCAGCTGCTGGGGCTGCTGCAGCGGAAAGTAGGACGGAGGGGAGGGGAAGGGCGCGGCCCCCATTGTGCTCTGAAGGGTGACGTGCTAGGGAGGCGCGCAGGTCCCCGAAAGTGCCGCGACGGGCGACGAGAGGGGACCGCGCGCAGGCCCCTAAGGCGCCGCGACGAGGCAACGGGAGGGGCCGGCTCGCGAGCCCCGAAATTGCCGCGATGAGGCGACGGGAGGGACCTGCGTGCGGGCCCCCAAAACGCCGCGACGAGGCGACGGTCGGGGCCAGCGCGCGGGCTCCCAAGACGCCGCGACGAGGTAAGTACCCGCCGCGCGCTTCGGGGCGCACGGCGGGCAGAAAACCGCCACGCGCCCCGAGCGCGTGGCGGGAAGAAAAAAAGGTGGTCGTGCGCCACGGGGCGCACGACACACAATAGGGCAGCGGAATCGAGTGGGCCCACAGGCCAGGAGCGTTAAGCTCTAGTACCATCTCAGAATCTTAAACAAAGGTAGGCTTAGAAGCCATGGTTTAGGTGCCTAGGTAATCGAGTTTTAGGGGGTGAGGAGAGAAGTGTCGAGAGATTTTTGAAAGAGAAGGGGTTTCACTAGGAAGAGCTGGGATACAAGTACAATGCCCTAAATTGGGTTGTACTCATTACAGAGTACCCCACTGCAGGCTAGACAGCAAATATATTCTGACAAAAAGTTTTTGCTGGCCATGAGGAGTATGGATTATGAAAAGAAGCCCCACGGAGCCTGCATTTGCATCAACAGTCAATACCAAGACTAGGAAGTAAAAGAACTTGTTAAAGCTGCGGCCTACATACCTCCTGGGACATGCCTTGGTTTATCACTTGAAAACCGGGTGAACCAAGTACCTGTCTGTGAAGAAACTATCGAGGCGGAAAGAGGGAGGGGACTGGAGGTTCCCAAACCAATCGAGACCCTGTTCAATACCACGTGTCGCGCCTGCAACGGAACGGGACTAGGGAACTTTCAGCGTTTTATAAATTTTGTCGCGTCTGGTTCGGGAAGAAACTCACAGAACCAGCGCCTCACGTCCCCGTTCCGTTAGGCTTCGAACAGGGCCCGAATCTTGACCTAGGGCTTCCGCCCTTCAAAAAGATATCCAAATATCCAAATTTTCGCTTGATTCTGTTTTCCATCCCACCGCCCCTAGCGAAACTGACTAG